TGCAGGAACAGCAACTCATATTCCGCTTGGGAACCCTGCAGCCCAATGGTATCAATGTGGATTTCACAAGCTTCAAAATCTCCCCTCCCCCTACCGCATCCCAAAACCAGCCCAGCTCGTCCCCGCCTCCCTAACCTGTCCTTCCTCCAACCTATCCCCTCCTCCCACCTCAAGCCCCACCCCCATCTCCTACCGACTAACCTCATCCCGCCCCTTTGACCTGTCCGTCCTCCCTGGACTGACCTATCTCCTCCCCACCTACACCCACCTTTACTGGCTCCATCCCAGCCTCTTTGACCTGTCTGTCTCCTCTCCACCTATCTTCTCCTCTATCCATCTTCTATCCGCCTCCCCCTCTCTCCCTATTTATTTCAGATCTCCCTTCCCCTCCCCCATTTCTGATGAAGGGTCTAGGCCCGAAACATCAGCCTTCCTGCTCCCAGGAAATGAATTATGTTGAGTCGAAAGCCAATTAAAGCAAATTAAAGGCTGGGAAAAAGTTGGGAGGGACATGTGTGTCAACTCCCTGATGCATTATCCTCTAGAGGGATCAGTCTTGGCATTGACCTTTTAAACAAGGTGGGCAGCCTGTTCCCCAGGGTAGCTGATTACAGTGATTAAATGCCCAAAAAAGGATGATTTTATGGTTTTCGTGAAGCTTACCCACCCGCAAAGCCTCCACACCCGAGCTACATACAGAGTGCCAGCTCGTTGGAGGCAGAACGTCTGATGTGGAGTCAAGTAAATGTTCAGTTCCTGACTGATGTCTCATGTTCCAGCCTCTGTAAACTGTTGACATTGAAAAGTATACTGTTCGGAACTTGCAGCAAATCCCCTGTGCTATTAATCCACTTTGTTTTCTGTCCAGCATTACCTCAGTTTTAAAATACTCACCTTCATTTTTAAATACCCCCATGAACTCATTATCTGTTCGGACCGTAAACTCCTCTGGCCCATAACGTAGCCGACTCTGCAGTCTTCCGATTCTGGCCTCTTGCTCTTTTCCAATTTGAATTGTTCCATTTTTTTGGGAGCCACGCTTTCAGCTGTTTACTGACCTCAGCTCTGGAATACTGTCTGTGCATCAAACTCTTCACCTTTTCATCTCTCTCTCTCTGTCCTCCTTTAAAGATGTGCCTTAAAACAGAGATCTTGGTCTGATCTATGCCCCATATTCTTTCGGCCACCACGTCTGTTCTTTACTCAAGATGGCGGCGGTGGCAGCGGCAGGGGGAGGATGTGTTCGGGCTCTGTGCTCGTACCCGCTCAGTTGGCCAGCCACATTCTACTTTGTTCTTTATGGGTTTTTCTTTGTTTTGTTTCTCTCTTGTATCGAAGTTGACCTTTGGTTCTTGTCTGCGGCTGTGGTGGGATGAAAGCAGGTGTGAGGGCCTGCTGCAGCGGTGGATCTGGATGTCCATTCCTCGTCGCCATAGTCGCTGTGGCTTTATCAGTGGCTTCATAGTCAGTGGGTCTGGACTGTACCTCCTGCGCTGGTGGCTATTAGCGGTGGTGGCATGGTGGTTCCGGTTCATTCCTCGTGGCTGTGGCGGCTTGTGTCACGACCGAAGTGGTGATGACTTGGCCACTCTGTCCCTCCATGCTATGTTGGTTTTGCAGTGGCATTGGTAGTGGCAGTGTGGTAGGCCTGGTTCGGAAATCCTGGCCTTGACAGCCTCAGGGGCTGGTGTCCCCTGGCCAATCCAGAAACCCAGGAGCCATGGTAGGAAGAAAAGACGAACATTGTCCTAACTTTATCTCAGTTATTTCTTTTTATAATTTCTGTAATTTAAATGGCGTCAAATAGTGGCGACTTTATACACATCTCATTGTATTTTCATAAATACAAGTGACAATAAATTTCTATTCCTAATATGACTTGGTGTCTGTTTGATCATTGTTTCTGTGCATGGTTCCTTGGGATGTTTTTGTAAGTTAAAGATACTAAAGGCAAACTGAAAGTTTTAAGATGGGAACAAGAAAGCCAAGGAGAAAATTTCCTTGCCTTTTTAATAACTATCATATTTTATGATAATTAACGCGATACATAAAGCACACAACACACACTGTTTAGAATACATGGAGCAATTTCCCTCTGTAACAAAATGTTAGCAAATTGTAAAATGAAATACGAAATTAATTCTGAATACAACTGCATTAACATGAGCAATCAAGTCAAGTGTGTTAAGTAAAAAACGAAAGAACTGCAGATGCTGTAAATCGGGAAACAAAACAGAAATTGCTGGAAAAGCTCAGCAGGTCTGAGTTCTGAGGAAGGGTCACCGGACCCAAAACGTTGACCCAAAACGTTGACTCTGTTTGTTCCTTCACAGATCCTGCCAGACCTGCTGAGCTTTTCCAGCAATTTCTGACTGTGTTAGTCTAAGTGTTTTAACCATTCCATACCTGAGTAAATGGAGTGAATACAAGATAAAAAGGACACCCTTTGCTTTTATATAGCATCTGTGCAGCCAATGAAATAATTTACATGTAAACACTGTTATAATTTAAGAAATGGAGCAGCTAATTTGCACCCAGCAACCTGCTAGAAACAACACTGCAACAACAAATGGATAATCAGTATTGTTGGTTGATGGATGGATGAATATTCACCAAGACAATTCCCCTACTCTTCTATGAAATTGTACATTCGGGTCTTTTATGCAAGTCTGTTGGTGAAACCTTGCTAATGAGTGCAGTCTGCATTGTAGGGACATGGCCTAGTCCTATAGAATTATAAATCAACAAAAAATACATTAAATAGAGCAGAGAAAATTGCAGTAGGGAAAAGTGACAAAGTAATTCTTTGATGTCGACAGCCTTTAGATCCACCATCCTTCCTGACTGGTTCCTTTTTCCATTTGATAAACTAGGTCACAAATTTACAGTGTAAATTGAAAGGATGTAACTTGGGACTTAAAATGATCATACCTAGAAAACTGAGCAACTCAATTCAAGTCTATTACATTGCTGCTTCTTTTGCTCTGAACCAACCACAATCCTTAGAATCATTAAATGAGAAGAACTGATTTAACTGAACCATTCACACTGACAATGCTCAACATACTTTGCATCATGGGCTAGGATGTTGTGTGATAGTGTAAATCAAGAAATAGAAATCAGACAGCCGCCTGGCTTTATGTGTATTGAGTCAACAACGAGAATGAAGAGCTGGCTTGCGATCTCCAATTTTATGCTGTTACTAAATGATGATCTACACTGAAGTGTTTTTTGAAAGCTGACTGATTGTTATGATGTCGGCAAGATCAGTGTGGAAATGGTTTACAATGATCGTACTCTTTCCAGTTGTAATGGTTGATTCAATTATGCACTACACAAATCATCTCACCTTTTAACTGTGCCAAAGTCACACACGACTGTTTCTTCACCTAAGGAAACAAAAACATACACGTGAAATTGTCACCTCACTTCTCAAAATGATGGGCTTGCATCTGTTCTGAAGAACCTTTGACAGTTTTGTAACAGTGAGAACAGGGTTGGATCTGCCTGGGAGAAAGCAAAGGCAGAAGTCGTATTAGTATTGCAACTGGGCTAATAAACCAGAGCCCAGGGCTGATGTTCTGGGCACAAGAGCTGAAATACCACCATGACATATGGTGAAATTCGAATTCAATAAATTCTGGGATCAAAACGAGTTGAACAGTGATCAAGTAACCAATACTACAGTAATTGTTGGAAAAACCCATCTGGCTCACGAGGGAAGGAAATCCGCCATCTTACCTGGTCTGGCCTACATATGACTCCAGACCAACAGTAATATGGTTGTCTCTTACCTGTTTTCTGGAATAACTTAGAAATGACCTCAAGCACAATTAGGGATGAGCAAAATTTGGAATCATAGACATCAATTACTAATAAATACAATAGGAAATTCAAGAGAAAACCCTAGCTAGCCATGCCCAATCCTCTAAGTATATTAAAAAAACCTATGTATAGAACATTTTAAATAAATTATCCATTGTTTTTAAATAAGGAAATTCAGCTGAAGGAGACAAAAACCAAGGGAACTGATAGTGTCAACAGTTGAACAAGATCTGCTTTTACCGTCAAATGGGATTTGTATTTTATAAAAACACAGAACCAATTTTATACTAACTATAATATGGAGTTTATTTCACAATAATTCTATAACTCCATTATGTGCTCCCCATTATGCAGAACTTCCTTTGAGTGCTGGACAATAAAAGAAGGAGAAGCTTGCAACTAAACCATTGCCAGAGATTGATGTTTTCAAGATTCTTAGATTTAATGCATAAGTCAAGTGCCAATAAAAATGTTACATTTGCTGCACTCTTATAATCAGAGGCTCATTGGTTAGTACTGTTACCTCACAGTGCCAGGGACCCAGGTTCAATTCCACCCTCAGGCGATACCCTCGGGCGATTGTGGAGTTTGCACATTCTCCCCGTGTCTGCCTGGGGTTCCTCCAGCTGCTCCACTTTACTCTCACAGTCTAAAGATTTGTAGGTGAGGTGGATTGGCCATGCTAAATTGCCCATAGTGTCCAGGGATGTGTAAGTTAGGTGGATTAGCCTTGGGAAAAGCAGGCTTATAGGGATAGGATAAGGGGGTGAGTCTTGTGGGATGCTCTTTGGAGAGTCAGTGTGGACTTGTTGGGCGTAGTGTGTCAAAGCTTGCAGATGACGCTAGGATGAGTGGTAGAGAAAAGTGCGCAGAAGACATTTAAAGGATATAGGTAGGTTAAGTGAGTGGGCAAGGGTCAGGCATATGGACTACAATGTTGGTAAATGTGAGACCAAATATTTTGGTAGGAATATCAGCAAAATGGACGATTATTTAAACAGTGAAAAATTGCAGCATGCTGCTGTGCAGAGGGACCTGGGTATCCTTGTACATGAATCACAAAAAGTTGGTGTGCAGGTGCAGCAGGTAATTAAGAAGGCAAATGGAATATTGTCCTTCATTGTTAGGGGGATGGAGTTTAAAAGCAGGAAGTGTATGCTGCGGGTGTGTAGGGTGTTGGTGAGGCCACACCTGGAATAGTCATTGGAATTTAGAAGAATGAGGGGGGAATCTTGTAGAAACATATAAAATTATGAAGGGAATAGATAAGATAGGAGCAGGGAGGTTGTTTCCACTGGTAGGTAAAACTAGAATTAGGGGGCATGGCCTCAAAATAAGGGGGAGCAGATTTAGGACTGAATTGAGGAGGAACTTCTTCACCCAAATGGAATTCCCTGCCCAGTGAAGCAGTTGAGGCTACCTCATTGGATGTTTTTTTTTTTAAAAGGCAAAGGTAGATAGATTTTTGAACAGTAAAGGAATTAAGGATTATGGTGAGCAGGCAGGTATGTGGAGCTGAGTCCATGAAAAGATCAGCCATAATCTTATTGAATGGCAGAGCAGGTAGCCTACTCTTGCCCCTATTTCTTATGTTCTTATGACCTCCTCTCGATTAAGCCATGCTAACTCAGCCTTATTTAACTATGCAATTTCAAGTACTCTGCAATCTCATCCTTAATAATGGACTCTGAAATCTTACCAATGACCAAGGTCAGCCTAACTGGTCTATAATTTCCCTTCTTCTGCCTTCCCCCCCACTTTTTAAACAGGGGTGTTACATTAGCCATTTCCCAGTCCTCCAGGATCCTTCCTGCCTCTAGTGATGCCTAAATGATCGTCACCAAATGCCTCCACAATCTCCTCAGCTATCTCCTTCAGAACTCTGGAGTGTACTTCATCCAGTACAGTTGATTTATCCATTTTCAGGTCTTTCAGCTCTCCCAGCTCCTTCTCCTGAGTGATGGCCACTACAATCACCTCTGCCCCTTGACTCAAAGTTCTGGCTACTGGTGTCTTCCACTGTAAAGACTGATGCAAAGTACCAATTTAGTTCCTCCACCATTTCTTTGCTCCCAAATACTACTTCTCCAACCTCATTTTCCAGCGGTCCAACGTCCATTCTTGCTTCTCTCAACTTTTATATCTCTAAAAAACCTCTTGTACTCTTTTTTTTATGTTACTATCTAGCTTACCCTTGTATTTCACGCCATCCCCTCCCCCTATCATTTTCCAGTTGTCCTGTGCTGGTTTTTAAAGTGTTTCTGCTGTGTGGAAATTCATGACCAGATAGCATAAACATGAGTAAGTTACTAATAAGTGCAATAAGGAATTCAAGAGAAAAACCTTTACTCCGAGAGTGATGAGAATGTAGAATTCACTGTTGTAGCAGTAATCCTCATCACTGATCACCGTAACATATGAGGTCGTCTGCGCTAATGCTCACCATGAGGGTATGTTTGTTGTCACTGCCAGCATTAGAAATGCAGGTCTCTTTTAGGTCCAAACAGGCCAGCTCCAGAGTTAATTGTCATAGAGGCCCTTCAGCCCATCATATCCATGCTACAAAACATTCATTTACCCCAATTTCATTTCCCAAAGCTTAGCCTGTAGTCGAGTGTTCATCTAAATAATTCTTAAATGCTTTGATGGTTCCAACCTTACCCCCTTTCAGGGAATGAGTTCCTGATACATACAACTTTCTGGGTGAAAAAAATTTTTCCTCAAATCCACTTTAAACCTCCTGCGCCTCATCTTAAAGCTGTCCCCCTTGGTAATTGACCTCTCTACTAAGGGGAAAGGTTTCTCCCTATCTATGTCCCTAAAAACTTTTTTTAAATTCAATCCCGGGATGCAAGCATCATTGGCAGCTCCAGCATTTATTGCCCACCTCTAGTTGTCCTTGAGAAGGTGGTGGTGAGCGGCCATCTTGAACTGCTGCAGTCCATTTGGCATCCGGACCCCCTCAATACCATGAGGATGGCACTTCCCAGATTTTGACCCAGCAACATCGACGGAACTTTCTGTACTTCAACCAAAGCCCCCCTCAGCCTTCTCTGGTCTATATTGTGGTGAGTCAACATGTTCAGAGATATTATGACACACTGCTGGAGCAGGCAGGGCTTCAAACTCCTGGCTCAGAGGTAGTGCCCACCTCCTCTCTTTGTACACTTCCTTTTGCGTTATTGTTGCACTACCCCAGTGCTTATAAATTGTTGTTTGCTTTAATTTGTTAACTGGGTCATTTGGTGTTTGGTATTCAGAAAAAAAAATTGTGTCATAATTTCCAACTGCCTACTTCTCTTTTGCGATTACTTTTGTGCCCGGATATCCTGGCCGAGTGAATGCACTCTGTCCACCAATACACAATGCTTTCAGAGAGGTGGGCAATGCAGGGGCTGGCATCCATCAACGACCTCTCCAACTCCACTTTGATTTAGTCCCTTCCCTCTGTTTCCACCTTTTCCTTCATTTTGATATTGTTGCATTGTCCCTGGTTCAGTGTTTGTTAATTATTACTTGTTGATTTGTTTAATTGTACGATTTGGTGGTGGGTTACAAAAGGAGGAGGAGAACTGGGTTCTAGTCATGATTTTTGAATGCCCTCTTCCCTTCCATGGCTACTTTCAGGCCCAGGTGTCCTTAGAGAGGGTGCATGCAGTGGTCACCAATACCCTTGAAGCATTGAGAGAGAGGGGTGGGCATCACGGAGGCTGGAATGAATTAAGTCCCTCTCTGACACCATTTTAATTTAATCCCTCCCTTGTTTACCCTCTTATTTTTGTTTAAATTTTGTTATTATCTGGAGAGCAGCAATTTTTACTTATTACTTATTAAATTGATGAAGTGGATGATTTGATGGTGGGCACTGTAGAGGTGGAATGTATTATCTCCCTCACCAACCTCATTTTGATTTCGTTCCCTTCCTTGCTTTTGCCTTTTGGTTTGATTTATGTTATTTTTACACTAAAAATAAGTGCTGGTGGCTAGTGCTTATATTTTGGTTACTGTGTGTTTGGTAAATTTGATGGTGGGTCTATTCTTTGACAAAATAAAACTGAGTTGGGTGTTGGTTTCTGGACAGAAAAAGGGTCCAGAGGAGGAAAAGCGAAAACTGATATTTGTACTATGCTACCGATTATGGGAAATTGCTAGATTATTATGGAGGTTATAACAGGACACTTCGAAAATCTTTACCCATTCAAGGACACTCTACGTAGTTTCCTGAAATGGAAACAGTGTTTAGTTAGTTTTTTTAGAATCCTTTGAGAAAGCAACAAAGTGGACCTACTGGATGGTGTTTAATTTGATTGTGGCACTTTGGCAAATGCATTCTGGAAATCTGATGTTACAAGGCAAAATAATAAACAAAATAAATAAATACAATAAAACCTTTGTATATCTCCGAAAGTCTTTTGCTGCCTAATTCAACATGGATATTGGTGTATGAAACTTCCTCTTTTTAAGCTGGGACCTACAGGGTCAACTTGGCCTGGCGTCATTGAGGAAAACCATTCACTAATTTACCAAAAAGATACTCTTGCCTTGAACACGATGTCATTTATTGCAGTTAGCAACAGTGTACAAATTACACTGATATGATATACATTGTTATACAGATTATGAAGGGTTCTAGATAGAGTCATAGAGATGTGTGGCACGGAAACTGACCCTTTGATTTAACTCATCCATGCTGACTAGATATCCTAAATAAATCTTGTTCCATATGCCGGCCTTTGGCCCATATCCCTCGAAACCCTTCCCATTCAGGTGCCTTTTAAATGTTGTAATTGTACCAGCCTTCACCACTTCCACAAGCAGCTCATTCCATACACGCAACATCCTCTGAAAAGGTTACCCATCAGGTCCTTTTTAAATCTTTCTCCTCTTACCTTAAACCTCTGCCCTCTAGTTTTGGACTCCCCCACCCCGGGGAAAAGACCATGTCTATTTACCCTATCCATGCCCCTCGTGATTTTATAAGCCTCTGTAAGGTCACCCTGGCGTCAACAGGCTGAAGATGATAGGTCTGACTCCTCCGGGATCCATATTCTTCTCCCACCAAGTCTGTATGATATTACCGCAGTGGATGCTTAAGACACTCCTCCAACCTTTTCAGACTATTACATGCTTTCAGACACTCAGTACACAGAAAACGGTTGAGGTGAACAGATTGAGACATTTAACTGAAAGCTAGATAATGACATGAGAGTTGTAAAAAAGAAAAATTTCTAGAAAAACAAAATTATTCTGATCAAGAGCAATGAGGCATTGAGTGAGCTTCTCCTAGTCCTTCCTTGCTCTTTAGTAACTGTCAAGATGATTGAACAACCCAAAACGTTAACTGTGATTTTTTCTTCACAGATGTTGCTCGACCTGCTTTTCCAGCAACTTCTGTTTTTGTTCCATTTTCTATTGCTGTCTGTTGAGAAGTCAGTAGGCAGCCCCATCTAGTGGCGTAGTGCAGTATCAATCAAGCAAACTAAATTGATTTTCGAAGTATTGTCAATTTTTATTATTCTGCTCCATCTTTACTCGAGCTTTTTTGTTTTAGTCAATCACGATAAAGGCAGTCAGCATTATGGAACTCAAGTATTGCTGAAAACGAGATGCATTTTGTCAAAGATTTTCAACTTGTATTTATCAGGATAATTCACTAGAGAAGCCAAAGGGAAAATAACATTTTTACTGTACAAGAGAAAGTGCTGATTGGTTAGCAATTGGACTTTGATTGGTACAGGCATTGCCATGGAAGAGACACCAGGTAATGATGACTGACAGTTAACTGTCAAGCCTTGTTTAAATATTAAACCAGGCAAGTTGATTTTAAGTGGTTAAGCTGTTGGCCTGAGAAAATAGCTGTCACCTATTTTATTGAGTTGTGATAAGCCGTATCCTTAAATGTTCTTTCTGTCTGCAAAGAACAAGGTCCCTGCATATTATTGTATGCAACTTTCAGTACACGCATGTGACTTCAGTCACTATACAACTGTAGGAAACAATCCTATTTTTATGGCCAAATTTTTGTCTACTCACTAACCTATCCATATCATATTGCAGACCCCAGATACCCTCCTTACGACTTACTTTCCTGTCTATTTTGATATTATCGTCAAATTTAATAAACATACACTTGGTCTCCACATGCAAGTTAATTTATGTAGACTGTAAATAATTCAAGTCTCTACACTGATCCCTGTTGTACATCACATCCTGCCAACTCAACAATGACCTATTTACGCCCATCCTCTGCTTTCCATTAGACAACTACACCTCTATCCATACTAATGTGTTACTTTCTGTAGCAGGAGCTGCTTTTTGTGTAGTAACCTTCAATGTGGCACCTTACATTCTGGAAATCGAAGTTCACTACATCCACAAAGTCTAGTTTATCCATGTTGCTTCTTACTTCCTCAAAGAACTCTAGTAAATTAATCTAACAAGATTTCCATTTCAGACAACCATGTTGACTCTCTCAGAAGGGGTTCAGATTTTCACACAATCCTGTTGTAACATTCTTAATAACAGATTCTAGCAATGACCCTACAACAGATGTTAAGATGGCTGACTTCTAGTTTTTCACTTCCCTGGATACAGGAGTCACATGTGCTTTTTTACAATCTATTGAGATGAGGTTGTTGACTTGCTCACCGAGCTGGCTGGTTATAGTTCGGCGAGCAAGTCAACAACCTCACCCACAACCCGAGCTACAAATCTTCGCAAGAACCTTAAAAATCTGTTGAGATCTTCCCAGAATCTAGGGAATTTTGGAAAATTAAAACCAATGCATCACCATCTCAGCAGCTATTTCATTCAACACTCATGATTTTGAAGACTTCTATCAGATCCTCTCTTAGCCTTGTTCAAAGAGAAAAGTCCCAACCTATCCCTATAACTGAAGTTTCTCATCTTGGAGGCATTCTTGGAAATTGATCCCAATGCATTTGCGTCTTCCCTGAAAGGTTGCCTCAGAACTACACATGATACTCCAGCTGAGATCTAACCAGTGTCTCATAAGTTCATCATAACCTCCCTGTTCCTGTACTCTTTGCCCCTATTTATGAAGCCTAGAACACTCTTTATTAACAGTTCTCTCTACTTGTCCTTCCATCTTTAATGACTTTCAGGTCTTTCTGCTCCTACACCCCTTTAAAATTTTACCCTTTGTTTTATATTATCTACTATCCTTGTATCAAAGTGTATCACATCACACCTTTTCACACAGAACTTCCCCTACCACCTATTTATCCACTCCACCAACTTGTCAATACCTCTTTGAAGTTTTACTTTGTTTTCCTCACAGTTTACAATTCTCCCAAGTTTTGTGCCATCCACAAGCTCTGAAATGGTCTCCTGCATATAAGGTCAAGATCAGGAAAATTAAAGTTCCCAACACTAACTCCTGGGCCACTCCAATACAAACTTGGGCCACTCCAATACAAACTTAGGGTTTACTTTTTCTTTCCCTTTCTCAGCCTAGAAACCTGTAACTCCAGAATTGTTTTCCATGGTGACAGTTTTCCCTCCAGATAAAACGAAGCCAATCTCCCAGCCTTGTTTAAACTCCCCCTGATCCAACCATTCTCCTGTACACTGAACCAGCGAGACCTTTGGCTTCTAGCTTTTTTTCTCTCTGCCTCTCTCTCTCACTCATTAATCACATGGATCTTGTATCTAGCAGGAACTGTCAACTGGCTGACCTAGGGAGCCTAAGTCTCACCCATCTTGGGTCTAAATGGGCAGCTGGCATAACTGCTTACAACCTGCCATTATCAACACTTTCCTGGGAGTTTTGTGACCTGTACTCTATCCACTATTAGCACACAGGCTGCTGCCATTATCTCCAAGCATAGAGGGAGTGTCAGTGGGATTCAAAACCCCAGGTTCTAATGTCCTGACACGTGGGTTTGAATTATGAGTAAATGGTGAAATTTGAATTCAATAAAAATCTGGAATAAAAAGCGAGCCTAATGGCTACCAGGTAAGCAACTGGTAGTTTGTTGTTGTTTAAAAAAAAAATAAAAGTCCTGTTGACTAAAGTCCTTTAGGGAAAGAAAATTTGCCATCTTTACCCAGTTTGGCCGATGTGTAACTCCAGACGCAAGGCAATGTGGTTGACTCTTAATTATCTGTTGGAAAGTTCAAGCAAGTGACTCAATTCCAGGGCAGTTAGGGATGGCCAATAAATGCTGGCCTAGTCAGCCACGCCCACATTCTGTGAATGAATAGAACTTTGAAAAACTGTGCCCCTTTCCAGAAAACAAACTGTATCTATCCCCTTTAATCTCGAACGATCAAACCACTAAGATTCACAGCTAGGAAGGCTTCAGAACATCTCACATGAACCCTTCTGCTCACTTTAAATTAAGGGCACAGTCCCAAACCATGACAATCTTATAAACTTCATAATTGTGACACTTCACGTCCGACATCAGCCAGCTCATTGCAGCATTAGTCCGCTAGGTCCCTGTGTGTCAAATTGTCCTCACGCAAATAATTTTGATGGACAACAATATTTCATTCAAAAACAATTTTTAAAAGTGCCACCTGAAAGCACTTTTCCATAAAGAATCAACTTACGTAATTCCATTCACTAATTGTTTTCAGCAGAAAGGAGTAGTTCTTGCCATTTTCTAAAGCTGCATTATAATACTGTCTGTAGTACAGTCGGTCTCCCACAGAAAAGTGCATCCCATCCTCAACATCTGTTGCCACAAATTCTGCTGTGATGTATGGTTCTCTGCCCCTTCTGTGGCCAAAGAAGTTTCTCACGGTCTGAGAATTGCAATCGAACGAGTGCTGCAAATGCAAGGGCAGAACAACGACCTGGTAAAAGCTAAACAAGGAGATGGGGGTGGGGGGGAATAAATTACATCAAAAACAAATCAAGCAAGCACTGTGACAAGTGTGGGGGAAAAAAAGAAAATCACAGTCATTGTAACACTTACTGACTTTGTACAAATAATAATAATGATTGACGAGCTCCTTCAATTCTTGCCTTGAACTAATTCGAGATTTTATCTGCACAATCATTAATAGTGAGCCTTCAGCTGCCCGAGACCTAAACTCTCAGCCTGACAGTGTCTCCCTCTCCATTTAAGGTTCTCCTTAAAAATCTTTGACCAAAATTTTAGTCGTTTGTCCTAGTATCTGTTTATATGGCTTAGGTGACAATCTTCTCTTGACAGTTGCTCCCGTGAAGCACTCTAGCATCAGCTTAAGGCAGTAAAGGTGCTACAATATTGCACACAGGTTGTTGTTGCAGCCTGTCAAGAAATTAAAATGAAAATCTCCAGCTGTGCCACCTCTATGTACAGATTGGATCAGTGAGTCTCAGCAGTGACCCTCTCCATTAGTATCTCTATCTGATTGTATCACTGGACTGGTAACCTGGAAACCCAGGCTAATGTTTTGAGGACCTGGGTTTGAATCCCATCATGGAAGATGGTAAAATTGTATTTGATAAAAAAAAAACTCTGGCATAAATGCCTAATGGAGAGCACGTAATTGTAGTTAATTGCTGTAAAAACCCATTTGGGTCTCGGAGACCCATGCAGATAGTGACAAAGTTAGAGAGAATGCTGATGGTTACCCGCAGGTTAAATTCACCACTAGTCATCTCTCTCTAATGATGAGAGAGCAGTCCTAATCATCTGGGGCTATGGTGGTACCTACTAATATTATTAACCAATATTATTACGTTACTAATATTATTAATAATATTATTGGTAGCACAGTGGCTCAGTAGTAACATTGTTGCCTCACAGCACCAGGGACCCAGGTTCAACTCTAGCCTCAGGCACTGTCTGTGTGGAGTTTGCAAGTTCTCCCCATGTCTGTGTGGGTTTTCTCCGGGTGCTCCAGTTTCCTCCCACAGTCCAAAGACGTGTAGGTGGATTATTCATGGGAAATTGCCATAGAGTCTGGGCACGTGCAGGCTAGCCATGGAAAACATGGATATAAGGTGAGGGCTGGGTCAGGTCAGAGGGTCAGTGCAGACTCGATGGGCTGAATGGCTTCTTTCTGCACCGTAGGGATTCTATGCTTATTCTAAACTATTAACACTATTTGCGATGTTGGTTGAGGGATAAACATTGACAGGGCCCCCTGCAGGGACATCTCTTCCCCCCAACGCCTCTTCAAACATCTTACTCGATTCATTTGTACCCACCTGAGGGAAGGAGATGGGACCTCAGTTTAATGTCATACCCAAAAATTGGCACCTCCAACATGGCAGTGCTGCACAGGAGGTGTCGGCCTCTTTAGATTGTGTGCTCAAGCCTCTCCAATGAGGACACATGCTTTCAAATTCATCTATGAGGCAGCTCCCATACTGAACCAAGACTGGCATGCTGCAAGTTCAAATCTTGCTCGCATTGGCTTTATTTTTTAAATATAAATCTGAGACACTCACCTGATCGGTCCATTTCTACTTTCCACGCTTCGGAGGCGGATTGGTGGAAGGGTTTGCTTTGCGATCATAACTTGCACATCAGGCACTGGAGGGTCTAAAACAAAGAAAGATTATGTTACAAAGCACACAACAGAGCTAAAGTAAAGTTCTGGTCATGTTAAAAAGCTCATTCAAAAATAAAAGAGGAATATGGGCTTAAAATACCGTAGCTATTTGCAGTCTGAACTAAAAACAAAATGGCTGATACACTCAACAGGTCTAGCTGGAGGAGAATTAAAGTAACCACTTTTCTGTGCCAACCCATTTTGTTGTAAGCCATCAGCAGTTTTATTATTTCACTTCATGACAGAGCTTAATTTTTATTCTCCACTGCCCCTATACCCCTCCTCTCTTCCATGCCTTTACACTGGCTTAAAATTGCGACTTTGTTGACTTATTCCTTTACAGGATCAGTATCCAACTGAAGGTTAATTTTAAGCTAATTTTTGTTAATATTAACAGTGAGTACTCTCCTGAGAATCGTAAAGTTAAAATCGAGTCCTGTATCTTGAGAAACAAATGCACATTGTGCATTATATATATTTAGTATTTATGCATAAACAAAAAAAGCTGATGGACATCTTTACTATTTATATTAGAAAGAGCAAACAGATGGAATTCCAAAATGACAGCCTAAACATGTTTGACGTTAACACTAATGTATGGTAGAACTCACTGTTCTGTTCGAGAATTATTGTACAAGTAACAGACCCCAGATCATGCAAATGTTGTTGCTTTAGCTATTTAAAAACTTTTGAAAAAAACAATGTTTCATATTTCCTCGCTTGGCCTTAGTAATTAAATAGGTTGATAATTAACATAAAATCCCATTGTTAACAGGGAAATACATTCACGATGAATCCAGCAAAAGGGAAGCACATTTTATAATGGAGGTCAACTGGACATGTTCAAACTTCTAAACTTTTGATCCCTACAGTACACCGTGTAAGATAAAATTCACTGAAAGCAACTTTTTTTCAGTAAATATAAAGATTTTCTACTATAGAAATAGTGCAATAAAGTCTACAAATGTACACCAACACTTGTTATAAGGCATCTCCAACAGAAGGCAGTAGGCTTGGAGATGGAGTTGGTGGAGGATTATCTGAAAATGGACATTAATGTGGGTACAGTGGGTGAGGTGGATGTCGATTTCAAAGTGGCAGCAGATAAGGCATCCTGCTCCTCTGATGCTGCTTGGCCTGCTGTGTTCATCCAGCTCTACACCTTGTTATCTCAGATTCTCCAGCATCTGCAGTTCCTACTATCTCCGAAACCTGTTATTATTGACTGCTTTGTCATTTGCTTTTTAATTCTGTCATGTTTCTGGTAAGGAGCACTACCACTGTCAATCACTCTGTAAAAGACAGTGCTTCCTTCCATAGTCTGTTGTCTCTTTTCTTCAATTCTTCAGCTGATCTCTTAAGGACTGCAGTTGTCTCAGGTTTAATTGTAGCCTTCTGATTTTCTCCCTCTTCCTCTTTATAATCACGTGATTTAATCAGCTCTGCCAATTCTTCAGCAGAGAGTTCCACTCCATGAGACTGAAGCAACTGCTTCTGTGGTCAGGTCTTCAAATCACTGTTCTCCTGCTTGTTCTGACTAGTGAACAACCTTGGCTCATTCAGTATCTCAACTGGGGATACTGGTGAAATTAACCCAGGCTCAGGCCTGGCATGTCCCAGCAGGAATTAATATTTGATTTTCTAACCTCGTCCTACAAGCCCTTAATTATCTTTCTCAGTGCCAGTACATTGAATTCTTTCCAGCAGTGACGTACAGTGGTTGAAAGGTTTTGTTCCACAGAATTGAGAACACAGCTGAAACCGCTAACTCTATCGTCAGCTTTGAAGGCTGCAATTACCTGCTGGTACTGGCTGCGTGAATGAGCTCATATTTGGAGTTAAAAACAAAAGCTCATTGTCTGCGAGGGTGGGTGGATGGCCAGGTGCATTATCAAGGATAAGCAGGACCTTGAAGGGCAAGTTATTTCTCATCGAATAAGTCCTTACCTCCTGCCAAAAGCAATTCTCAAACCAATCACCGAGCACTACTGTTTCCCTTCCAGTTATCAGCAGATAAGGTATTGCTTTTCTTTCAGGGTTCGAGGGTTTTCTGTAGCATTGGTTGATACTTAAAGTCAGTCACACAGCAAAAGCATTAGCCTATCCTTTGCTACTTTGAAACCAGTTGCTGTCCCTTGTTCCTTTGAGATGGTAGATGCTGACTGCCATTCTCTTCCTTGAGCAGACGGATTTCATTTGGGTTAAAGACCTGCTCTGACTGGTACTGTCTGTCCCGAATGCAGCTCCCTGCTGGAACTCTTCTATGACTGTATCTTCAGCTAATGCAGCCTCCCCACCAACTTCACAATGTTCTTTAAACCATTCAAACCATCCTCTCTACAGGATAAACATTCTCGGGAAGAGGACCCTTCTTGGCTTCCTTCACTCTCAACGTTGTCACAAATGGCGCCAGCTCTCTACTAGCTCTATGTGCTGCTACAATTCAAGCACTTTGCATCTAATTATTGAACCATTTCCTGATATCGGTTTCTGATACTGGTTCTCAATCTGTGTGTTAAGGTGAGGGCAAATATCTATCTGACAGGATCTACTGTAAGATATTAAGATTCTGGAGTCAGAGACAGCACACTACGGAGCTGGAGGAACACAGTTGGCCAGGCAGCATCAAAGGACCACAGATGTTGATGTTTGGAGTCGGGACCCTTTTCAGAAATCGCCATTTCTGAAGAAGGATCCTGACCCGAAACGTCGACTTTCCTGCTTCTCTGATGCTGCCTGGCCTGCTGTGCTCCTCCAGCTCCATACTGTATTGTCTCAGGATATACTGTAAGCAGCCCTGAAGCAACAAGATTTGGGCAAGAGCTTAGGGCGTTTCTCATTCATTAAGAACTTCTAACTTTTAGCCTTCACAAAATTAAACATAGAATCTGTTGCTGTTTTATACAGATTCACTGATCTCATACCAAGGCTGGTAACTGAACAAGAGTTCTACTTATTTGAGGATCTGTTACAGCGATTTGTTACAAAAGTTCAGCAGCTGTTGTACAGGAAAGCACTGCTGTACTTCCGCCAATGCCTACTGCAAGCTAAACTGTGCAATCGCTTGTCGTTACATGCTCTATGCCCGGATTACTTGCTGATTAGCTTGTTCCCTCTTAAAGTGATATGACAACACAATCCTCAAATACGTTATTACCTCAGACTACTAGACCATGAACAGATTTGAATACAAAAGTATTAGTGTTTTTAAAGAGTGTTATCAGCCTGTCAGACAGACAGATTAGTAAGCAGTGGATCAATATTGTAATTTATCACACGGGTTTTGGCTAAATTTAATGTACAGAGGGTGAAATGTGACAATTCAAGCAGAAAAGCATTGGAATAGTCGGTCTAGAGTTAAGACAGGCATTATAGTTGAATTTCAAAGAACAAATTAGATTCTGTTCCCTTTTCCATAGCCAGGGAAAAAGGTAAGGCAACTTGATCAACAACTAACGAGGTTCAGCATCACACCATTACGAATATCTCGACAACTGGAGTTAGTTACTCACCAGTTACTGCTGTTGATAATTGTATGGAAGCAGAATGTTGCAGTGTAAGAGCAGTGATATTCACTGTATAGTTAGTGCCTGCTTGCAGGTCCAAACACACAACTGGAGTGTTATCTGCTGTGCTATAATTAAATGACTTCTCATAAAAGAATTCTCTTTGGTAGGATCTAAATCCTTGTATCTGAAACTAGAAAGAAAATAATCATTTGTTCTAATGAACCTGTAAAAAGCAAACAGATATTGTACAACAATGCACCATCTAAAGAAACCAGGGGCCAGTGGGTGCAGGATTCCAGCATTGCAGACTGACAGGGGAATTAGTCAATCATCTTCATTTCGGCCAAGAATAGTGGGAGTCACCATATGCTGTTACATAAATGATAACCCTATACATTGAGTAAAAGTTGTTGAAAATAGACTGGATGGTGACTTGAGAAAAGGGAAAAAACCTTTTTGCTTAATCATTCACAGGATGTGTGTGTTGCTGGCTGTATCAGCATTTAATGCCCATCCCTAATTGCCTTTAAGGAGGTGGTGTTGAGCTGCCATCTTGAACCACTGTAGTCCATTGATGATAGACACACCCACAGTTCTGTTTGAGAGGGAGCTCCAGGATTTTGACCTAGCGATGTTGTGGCAACAGGTGATGTATTTCCAAGTTAGGATGGAGCAAGGGTTGAAAGGTGGGGTACCATGTATCTGCTGTCCTTATCCTTCTAGTGTTAGAGGCTGTCTAAGGAACCTTTGTGAGTCCCTGCAGTAGATACCCACTGTTGCTATTAAGTATTGATGATAAAGGTGGTGGTTGACAGGGTGCCAACCAAGTGGGGCTGCTTTGTCCTGGATGGTGTTGAGCTCCTGTAATGTTGTTGGAGTTGCACTCACCTATATGTATTACAAGCAAAGTTGTGAAACCTGCGATCCCAGGGAACTATCATAGGATTATTGTGCCAAAGTTTTAAAAAGTCTTGAAACATATTTTGTTTGCAGAATTGCTTTTACTTAAGTGCTAAAATTCAAATGATCCCTTTCAATGATAAGATTTTCCTGTTAAAACATCTACAAATTATGAGGACTATTATTATGTGAAGGAAAATTGCTTCTGAAGGATTTCAATACAGAAGAGACTGGCAGGGACAATTGAAATCACATTGGCAAGCACTTAGCTTGATGTGAATAATGTAGCATTCCCAGTAGCAAAAGCCCTGATTCATCAATGGGTTTTTTTTAAACCAGTAAGGCTCTAAACTCAAACCCTCTCACAGTTAACCCGATTGTCAAGTTATCCCTCCCCAACTTTCTAAAGTCTCCTCTCTCATTGATCACAATGGATGTTGCGAAATAGCATAGCACAAAGATCTGAAGGAGTGTCGTGTCTGACGCGAAATGTTATCTCCTTTTCCCTCTCCCCAGATACTGTCAGAACTGCTGAGTTTCTCCAGCATTCTCTGTATTTATTTCAGCTTTCCAGCATCTGTAGTATTTTGCTTTTATTATAGCAGCAATATTATTGACATAGGAATCCAATGCCTTGGACTAATAACTGAAAGATGGAGAGTTCAAATTCTACCACTACAGGTGTGAACTATGACGCATCTAATTAAATAAAACGGGAGCTTAAAATGTTAACATAGTAGTGGTGATTGTAAAACTACTGATTTTCATAATGATCATCTGATTCACTAGTACTCTTTAGGGAAGGAAATCTGCAGTCCTTAGCCAATGTGACCTACATGTGACAATGTGATTGACTCTTAACAGGCCTTTGAAATGGCCTAGCAAGCTACCCAGTTGCAGTCAAGGTGCCAGTTCACTATCACTTTCTCAAGCACAGTAAGTGCTATCCTTGCCAGTGATGTCCACATCCTGTGAAATAATTAAGAGAATTGACCGTGTTTTTAAAAAATTTAACCTATTTTTCTAATCAACCTGTTCAGAGATGTTATTACCCACCTCTGGAGCAAGTAGTACTTGAACCTGGGCCTCCCAGTCTAGGAGTAGGGACACTACATCTGTGCTACAAGAGGGCCTCCTAAGTGGTGACTTATTTTTTATTTAACCTATTTTTCTAATCAACCTGTTCAGTGATGTTACTACATACTACTGGAGCACGTGAACCCGAGCTTCCTGGTCTGGGGTAGGGACACTAGCTCTACACCACAAGAGGGCCCCCTAAATGATCACTTTTTTTTGTTTAAACTATTTTTCCTAATCAACCTGTTCAGTGATGTTGTTACACACCACTGGAGCAGGTGGGATTTGAAACAGGGCGTCTGGTCCAGGGATAGGGATAGGGATACTACCACTGTGCCACGGAACAGGCCTCCTAAGTGGGCACTTTTTAATGCTCAGCATCAATTAGTTTCACCTTTGTTAAATATCTCAGGCATTTCTTAATTTTAGCACACTGTAAACTATGCAAATGGTAGAAACTCTAGGAGTTAATTATCAAAATCAGACAAGCGAACTCTGACTGAGAATTCAAACCAGTGCCACAGAGAAAGATGGAAGAATTTGTACAGGGGTACTTCCCCAACCCGCCACCAGAAAAATCAGGATAGGATGCACTCCCATTTGTTAGGGTGTCCCGCAGCCATTTAACATTCCAATCGGTTGGAAACTATAAGATACAAGAGCAGAAATAGGCCATTCAGCCCATCGTGTCTGCTCTGCCATTCAGTAAGACCATGGCTGCTCCGACAATCCTCAATTCCACTTTCCTTCCCTTTCCCTATAACCCTTGATTCCCTCACTGATTAAAAAAAACTATCTTGAATATACTTACTTACCGAGCCTCAATAGTCAAGAATTCCACAGATTCACTACCCTCAGACAAAATTCCTCCTCATATCGGTCTTAAATGTGGAACCTTATTGGGAGATGATGTCTTCTGGTCCTAGACTCTCCCACAAGGGGAAGCAACCTTTCTGCATTGACCCTGTTAAGTCCCCCATGTTGTTTCAATAAGGTTGCCTCTCATTCTTCTATATCCCAACAGGTACAGGTCCAATCTATTCAATATCTCTCATTAGACAATCCCTCCATACCTGGCATCAGCCTAGTGAACCTTCTCTGGTCTGGTTCCAATGTCAGTATATCTTTCCTTGGATAATGGGCCCACAGCTGTTCAGAGTATTCCAGCTCTGGTCTGACTAGTGCCCTGTAGAGTTTCAGCAAAACCTCCCCACTTTACTCTTCCATTCTCTTTGAATTAAAGGCCAACATTCCATTCACTTTCCCTATTACCTGCTGAACTTGGGATGCTAGATTTTTTTTTCTTATTTGTGGCCAAAGACTCCTATTCAGTTTATCTTGTCCATGCCAACCCAATTAGAATTATCCAGGCTCACCTCATTTTCCAACTTGGTCTGTAGTCTTGCACGCATTGGTACTTCAAGAGCACATCCAAGTAATTGTCAAATGTTGATTCAATTTATCCCTGAAAACTTTAGCAATTGCTGAGGCGGTGGGGGCAATATTATATGTAATTCATTGAGAGTTTTTTTAAAAGCACAGAGCATGTCAGCTGAATCGGATTCAGAATTTTGAGGAAGTGATGAAAGCAGTGTGTAGCTGTGCTGTACATGGACATGTTATTAATCACTGATGGCTATGATAAAGAAAGGACTGGGGTTAGTGAGAAGGGATGAAAACAATGGCTTTGGTCATTACATTGTTTAATCACATGAAACTGTGGCTGATCTATGCTTGGATTTCGGATAGTGGAGATTTGAAACATAGGAGCAAGATATGATTGACGTTCATGATCCTATGTTTGATCAAGGGTCAGCAGTTTTGACAAATCAGTGCAGGAAGAAGTGAAGGGCAGTAGAGAAAGATTATGTGTGTGTGTGTGTGTGTGTGTGTGTGTGTGTGTGTGTGTGTGTGTGTGTGTAAATATATGATATAAATAAACCATTTGTTTTATTTGGCATCACATTCAAAGCTATATTAACCATCACTCTCTCATTCTGTGGAATCTTGAAATGTTTTATTCTTGGAAACAGTTGGGAGGATGGTGCATACAATAATTCAATATTCAGAAGGATATTGACTCTATTTGCTGGCAAGTTAGCAGCAATTTTAATGTCTACTAATTGCCCCAATTCAAGTTACTCCAGAAAGTTAAAGCTGTTATTTCACATCCATTTAGTGATGCAATATATGGAACTTGGCTCAATCTTGAGAGATCCAGAAAGGAAATCATTGAAACTGAAAGTTTCATTCTTGCTAGTTGTAAAGTGTTTCTACAGATCCTTCAAACTTATACCTCAATATTTAAGCTTACTATCTCTGTTCCCTCTCTTTCAACCCAGTCTCTCTCTTTCTATATCAGATTTGAGTCTATTTCACCTTATTTCCTTCTCTGCCATTCCGTTTCTTTCTCAATCCTGAAATCTGCATCAGTCAAGCAGACAGACTGACCCACAGCTCAGTAAGATCCCAGGATGTTGGTCTAAGTATGCCATCACCAGCCCAGAACTCCAGCAACTTGTATCACCCGCAGTATTTGGAATTGCAAAGTGAGGGGGCAAAAGAAATCCACTCACGGCGCTCATTGAGAGATTCTCCACCTGAGAAAATTCAGGGGCACTTCATCTAAAACGTTAATAGGACAGACACCGAAGTATTTTGCATTCTCACTTACTAAATATATGTCCTCAGATCTGGATCCAATGCCATCCCTCTTCCACTTCATGCAGGATTCATTAAACAGAATAAAATCATTAACTATGAAGGACAAAAGAAGATCCACAGTGTAACTAATTTCAACCCAATTAATATGCATGTAACATAACCTTGGGAAGATGATTGAGGTTAATTTCTCCGCAAGCCTTTATTATAGGCCAGTTACAGAACTGTGCAATGGATTAGAACATATCTGGAATATCATCTTTAAGGAATTATATTATTATTGGCAGTAACGTGCCAGTTCAGGTAATTAACAATAAATATCAACATAAAAGAGTTGAAGAAATCAACAACTGAACACAATTATTAAGGAATAGATTATATTCAGTAACCAATATTTATTTTGTATTATTTTCCTGAGACAAAATTGAAATGGCGATTGACACTTAAATTCCAAAATAAAAGTGTCTTTAATTTTGTAATATTTCTAAATGCTTACATTTTGTGTGACTTCAACCAGATATAGCAGCCATTAATCTGAAAACTAATTCATATAGGTTTTGCTAAATTTAAGTTACAATTACCTTAATGTTTATATTGAATAAAACCGAGATGCAACTGGTCCTTCTGTTCACTTCCTAGCTTAGCCAAAATGTAACCTCAGATGATCCATCTAAATTGTCTTAATAATGGTTCTCTGACATCTTGCATATTTGGCAAGAGCATCATTTGATTTTCAATAACTCTATTGACGTGTTTCACTGAAACAAACTGGACTGTGGATTATGACTGGTTCAGTCTTTTCACGGCAACAAGAAGCGTATATCTTCCTGGAACTCAAGAGCTACTGCCAGATGCAGTTTGAAAGCAGGCACCCACAAGGTCAGAGACCAGCTGCAAACCAGTGCCTCCAATTCTGCAGCGGGAATGTTGGTGAAACTGTCATCATCCACTTCATCAAATCTGACAGAAACTTCAGGCAACTGGTTGCTTCAATGCATAATCAATTACAAATCACTGAACTGATGAAAATCTTTGCTCCTAAATCTTTAGAGTGGAATATTAATGTAGACAACAGGGAGGTTTGTTGCTTTATTGAGGAAGGGCCACCATACTACATGTCCATTAGGGACCTAGCTGCCAGAGATGAATCTTCACTGGAAAAGAGGATTCCAGGTCCAACAATCCCAAACCCAGTAAGCTGTCTGCCAATCAGATGGGGTGTGACAGCAACAGTTGGCAATGCAGCCACCAAAGGCCCTGGATAATGAGGGTCCCAGGCTATTGGTAGCAGGATGACAGTATCAGGGAGGGTATCACCACTGAGGGCAGAACAGAAATGGCAAAGGTATGGGAAACGCTCAGTGGGCCCTCCCTGATACCAGGTCCTCAATCAGAAACTGAGCCCATTAAACCAGAAGTTCTCCTAGCCCATATACCCCAACACCCCCCAACAACCAAACCTCTTCCCCTACAAATAAACCAAATGGGGCTTCCTTGTCAGACTTCTCCTATGGCATGTGTCTGTGTCCTCTTTAACTAGCATCAAGCAGGAACACCATCTATGAGTCTTCCTGCCCCAGGCTTAATTAAGAAAGGGCAGGAAAGTAGTGGGGGCCCTATCCCACACATTCTAACCCAACACTCCCATTTCCAAACTGCCACTGGGGATGCATTAAATTCTAGCCTTAGTCTCCCTCAAAGCCCTTGAAAAATTATGACTAAAATGGGATTTTTATTGATGTTTTAACTTTATTATTATTGCTAAACATTCACACATGGTTATTGCATTTTCTATTTTTTTAATAGAATCATAGAATACCTAAATGGGAATGCATGCTATTCAGCCCATTGAATCCGTACCAAATCTCTGAAGAGCATCCCACCCGGACTCACCCCTCACCCCCATCCTATCCCTGTAACCCTGCATTTCCCATGGCTAGTCCACCCAGCCTGGACACTATGGGCAATTTAGCATGGCCAATCCATCTAACCTGCACATTTTTGGACTGTGGCAGGAAACTGGAGCACCCAAAGGAAGCCCACGCAGACACGGAGAATGTGCAAACTCCACACAACCAGCCACCTGAGGCTGGCATCGAACCCAGGAAGCTGGAGGCAGCAGTGCTAACCACTGAGCTACTGTGTCACTTCTTTTGAGATACCATGATAAGAAATTCCTCATATTTTAAAAATGTTGTTTATAAATATACGGTTCTTGCTCCTCCCTTAGTCCAATCATAGCCATTTATTCCCTATCTGAAAATTTAAATTAAAAAAAGTAAACGATAACATGGTTTTAACTTCTTGGTTTGCTGTCCATGTGAATACCTCAAGGTGATTGGCTGCTTACCAATATCATCGCTACTGAGCCAGATCTAACTTACCATTGAGAGAGGGGGAAGTCATTGTCGAATCTTTGTGGCTAGCCTTTGTCAGGGTCAGTGGGTCACACAGTTGTTGTTATAGGCTACAAACTTCAGGGCTGTGAAGGGCTGGCAAGAGCTGTACTCATACGCTGTGGGGTTTCATGAGATTGACTTGCATTGCCACTCCCCTTCTGTTCGTAACAAAACGCCCACAAGAAAAACTGGAATCAAACCTCTGGAGTAAAAAGTCAATTGCACTCACAGAAACAGTGGGAATCAACAACAGGGAGCCTTTCAAGCAGCTTAACCAGAGGATAGTACAGCCGGTGAAGGAAGATAGCCAGCCCAGCAATCTGACCATAGGAATCCCACACACACACAATGGCTAAACACAGGAAACGTCCACCATAGTGAGGTAGCAAGCTGTCGGCCACAGTGAGTAATCAACTTGTGCAGATTGGAGGTCTTTACCGAGGTGGGAAGTAAAAACATATGCTATTAGGAACCCTCATTGGTTTGCCTATCCAATTGTACAAAAGTTTACGAGAGCCAGGAGAGAGGCAATCCCAGCCAGGCACCAGCTGTGCTGAGAAGCTGCTCTCCCAATTTACCAATGTGTGCACCTTCCAAGGAAGCACATGCCTCCTATGCATCCTCCAAAACAGCAGAGAACACTTTGGGTATTGATGCCTCAGGCGCAAGACACTCTGAGAAAGAGGGAGACATACGAGTTTGACATAAATATTAAATTATCACAAGATTACGAGTTTGTTTGAAGATGTGGAAAGAACAGTTAACTATATGTTTACTCTAATAACAGAATTTCAGTATGCACATAAGGCTCTATATCACAATGACGTCTGATTGCATGGAACCCAAGTGTGTAAGATCCTAGAAATAGTCATGCTTACCATCTCTTGAATGTAGTTGGCACTTAATAAAGTTTGTTGATGTTCATTGACATAGACATGGACTACCTTCTGTCAACAACACTGACGTGATCTGATTGCAATACCGAGATCTGTTCCAAATATTTCTGTTACATTAGAACTTCGTGACTACTAAGAACACTCAAGTTAAACTTGCTCTGTACAATATTAATAACAAATACATTAGTATCCATTTGATTTCTCATTTGTTATAATACAATTGGGTAAATACCTTTCTTTCAGTCGCAAACAGAATTTACAAAGTGTTACATGAAGTTGTTCATTACTGGCACCTCAATGCAAGATTTTAATCCCGACATTTTTTAAAAATGGAATTCATGGCAATGGTGTTAAATTTAAAAGAACATTACCTTTACACAGCAATGTTACATCTTCCCATTGTCCTCTTTCTGTGCAGACAGATGTATTCCTTCCTGACAAAGTATAAAATCCATCCCTGCACCTATAATGAACAATGTTCCCTCGTCTTGTATTATGGTACTGGAGCAGATCTGCATGTGGTACAACTGGTGGGCTCCCACAGTCAATATCTATAAAAGATAAATATTACAACAGTCCCAGCTCAGTCTGGGTTTCTTCAGTTGCACTGCATAGTTTCATCTATTACAGTTGGCCACAACCCTGTTCTAATATTACAATCCAGGAGAAAAATCAGAGGGACAATTAAAAAGAAAAATGCTATTACTAAAAATTATGTATCCACCCTTTTGTATAACGGTTCTAAAGATACTTAAGGTAAAGAAGAAAAGGCCGTTGGACTGGGTAGGTCTATTGGACATTGAATGTTATATGTTAGCACCTTCAGGAATTTGTCCAATCAGATTTGGCAATCCTCAGTGTGGTAGAGCAGGGGCAAGATGATAAATTGGTCATAATCAGAACAACCAAAATGTCAAAAAAAGGGACAAATTATTGTTTTATTTGGGAGTTGCGAATGGGTGGAGAGGAGAGATGGAGGCAAAGTATAATTTCTATGAGGAATAAAAAGAGAAAATTAGCATTTGTGGAGCTGAATTGTAGGATCAGGCTCATTAAAAGTATTAATGCACAGATGAAGGTCTCCGCCCATTTTAACTTTCACCTTGAAAATCGTCAATGATTGCAGGCAAATGTTTCTCCTGTCAACCATGACCTTCTTTAATAACAGATTCCACCTTTGTCTCACCAACATCTGTCTTCACTTCCTGTGGACTAAAACCATTTTGTGTTATAATGTGTACTGACAGAGGAGTTGATAGTCAGGGGACACATTTTTATGGCAATTGGCAAAAGAACCAGAACCGTCACGAGGAAATTTTTTTTATGCAGCGAGTTTTCGTGATCTGGAAGGTCTTGCCTGAAAAGGAGGTGGAAGCGGTTCAATAGTAACATTAAAAAGTTGAGCTAATTAAACATTTGAAGACACAAAATTTACAGGGCTGTGGGAGTGGAATCATTTGATAACTTTGTCAAAGAGGTGACACAGGTGTTATGGCCAAATGACCACCTTCTAAGCTGTATCACTTAGACTCCATACGGCTATAGAGTTATAGGGATCTGCAGCACAGAAAAAGGTCCATCCCATCCACGCTGGTTTAAAAACAGCCAGCTAACCATGCTCATCCCATTTCCCAGCACTTGGTTCATAGCCTTATATGCTTTGGTCTCTCCAGCGTACATCTAAATACATCTTAATACTTCAGAGGGTTTCTGATTCTACCACACGTACAGCGGCGAGTTCCAGATTCACAGCACCCTCTGGGTAAAAACAAAGCTTCCTCACATTCTCTCTAAACCTTCTGCCGTTTTCCATAAATCTATGCTCCCAGTCATTGATCCTTCCATTAAAGGGAAAAGCTTTTTCCTGTCTACCCTATCTATGCCCCTCAATTTTTTTTACATATCTATCATGTTCCATCTCCATCTCCATCTCCTCTGCTCTAAGGAAAACAACCCTAATCTATCCAATTTCTCTTCAAAACTGAAACTTTCCAGCCCAGGTAATATCCTGGTAAATCTCCTCTGCACCCTCTCCAGTGCTATCACATGCCTCCTATAATTTGGATTCCAGAACTGCGCACAATACTCGAGCTGTGGTCTAACCAACATTTTATACAGTTCCGGCATCAGCTCACTGCTCTTAAACTCTCTGCCTTGACTAATAAAGGCAAGTATACTGTTTTATCCACATATCCTGATACCATAATGGATATGTGTACTGTAACTCCAAGGTGTCTCTAATCCTCAGTGCTTCCCAGGGACCTACCATTTGTTGCGTATTCCCTTGTCTTTTTTGTTCTTCCCAAGCGCATTATATTTCACATTTAGCAATTTCTGTAACTTTCTATTATCTCACCCACTTGTCGATATGATGGCTGCATGTTAGGGAGAAGCAAAATACTACAAACTTGGCCTGATGGGAGTTAGCTGATGGGCAGATTTGAGAGTCGATTATGTTGACAGGATATGGGCTGAATGCTAGAATCATCTTGCCACATATATCACACTAATACTCACATTTTGCTTAAAAGATGTTTTATCAAGTTACTGTCTTCTGCAGTACAATGCAACTTAAACATTGTCATGTTATGAATTGTTGCATTAAAACAGATGGGCTTTCACAACCTTAGGACATCCTAAATTGTTTTACGGTAAGTTTGAAGTGTAGTCATTCTTTACATAGGAAAGATGGCAGCCAATTGGTGCACAGACAGGTTTACAAACAATCTGATAATAACATTGTGACCTTAGTTGGAGGGTGAATATTGGTCAGGGTGCTGGGCGATCTCCTACTGTCTTCTACAAAGTGCTTGGTGATCTTTTACATCTGTATGAGAGGGTGGAGGGACTCTCATGTAAAAGATGATGCCTGAAATACTGCAACATGCCCTGAATACCACACCGACAGTGTCAGCTTCATGCTTGGGACACAGTCTCTTGAGTTTGATATGAATTCAGAAATTTGTAGGAACACAGAATCATAGGACATAGGAGAAAGAACAGGCCATCCGCATATCCCTTCATACCATTAACATCTAGAAATTGATTGATCGTGGTCTTGATCATGCTGAGTGCCCGAGTTTCCATAGCCCTCCGGTATAGAGAATTCCAAAAATTCACCACGCTCTGAGTGAAAAAAAATCCTCCTCTAGTCAGTGTGAAAGGCCTGTCCCTTATTCTGCAGCCTGATCCGTCCCAAGGTTCTACACCTTCCAGCCAGTGGAAACACCCTTCCTACACCTATTCTGTCAAGCCCTAAGGAATTTTGTCAGTTTCAGTGAAGTCACCAGTCATTCATCTAAACTCAAGAGAATACAACCCAGTCTTCTTAACCTTTCCTAATAAAACAATCCTTTCTTGCCAATGATCAGTTTGGTGAATCTCCATTACACTTCCTGCCTGGCAAGTATATCCTTTTTTGGGCAAGGAGGTCAAAACCTTATACAACTCGCCAAGTCTCAGTATAATTGCAGCAAGATACTTCTGTGTTCAACACACTTTCTTTTCCCGCCTACAGAGAGAAAGGTGTTAGCCACTTAACTAAGGCTGACAATTATAATCCTACTGCAATGGAACATAAATGGGCTGTATGGCTGACACATTTAGATATTAATTCAAAATATGCACCAACAAGATTCTAGATCATGTACAGTCAAGTCAAGTAAATTGCTGGTTATGACTCAGATGCACATTGAAAATTGTTCTGCAGATGACTGATATTCCAGACTAAACTAAAAGTTATCAGTCCACAAGGTGCCTCAGCAACTGGGTTGCTCTCAACAACAATGACAACTTGCATTCATATAGCACTTCCATGTGTAGACAAGGACAGCATCCACATGGCAACACCAGCGCTTGCAAGTTGCCCTCCAAGCCATGTGCTAACCTGACTTGGAACTATATTGCTTTCCTTTCCTGTTGCTTGTTCAAAATCAAGGAATTCTGTCCCTAAAAGCACTGCAGGTGTTCCTTCACCGCATGGGTTTCAGTAGCTTAAGAAAGCATTTTCTCAAGGATAGTTAGGTATTGGCAAGGAATGCTGTCCTAGTCAGCAACAGCCATATCCCCAAAATAATAACAAAAAAGTAGAATGTTCCAAACTGCCTTACGGAAGTGTTATCAAACTAAATTTGACACTGAGCCACTTAGGAAGGTTAGGAGTGGTAGTCAACAGCTTAGTAAAAGTGGTAGCCATTAAGGAGCATGTTAAAAATGTAAACATAAAGGTTGATGGGCAGGAGGGGTTTACGTACAGTATTCCAGAGTTATAGGCCTAAGAAGCTGAAGACATGGCCACTAGTGGTGGAGTATACAAAATCAGGATTCCACAAAGGTTAAAATTGGAGGAGTGCAGAACCTATCGCTAAAGGAGGTATGTAAAACAAACCCACTCTGTTTATAGAGATAACAAGGTGCAGAGATGGATGAACACAGCAGGCCAACCGGCATCAGAGGAGCAGGAAGGCTGACGTTTCAGGCCTAGACCCCCATTCTGTTTATGCTTGCTCACACAGTCACGATTAATAACTAATAATAAGGCAGAGGTCCATGCCATCATGAAATGTTTAAAAACAATTTTATTCTTTCAATGTTCAGCAAAATGAAAAACATATCAGGTACAACACATTTTGCCAGCAAACTATGATGCATTAGGAATATAGTGTCCCCTCACATCAACCATTTGCTTTTCGTTTGTATTGTGCAAACAGCTCCTTAATTACCTGTACAAGTGAAATTAGCTCCTTCCCACTGTCCTTGGGCAGAACACACCAATGTGCCATTTCCTCCTTCACTTACATAACCAGTCTTGCAAACATACTGGACTCGGTTTCTATACACGGTCCCTCCGACTAATGGTGGCTGTGCATTTGGTACGTGAATTGGGATCCCACAATCTACAACTGTGGAGGAGAAAACCAGATGAATTATCATCAGTACTTTAGGAAATAATTCTTCATTATTCTGAACAAGTGCATTTATTTTAAAACTCTCATCTGGTTTACATATCCTTCCTTGCCTCCTCTCTAACTCCCTAACTGCTGCCAACCCAACATCCCACTGAGTTCTCTGCGTTTCTCCAATTCTGGTCTCTTGTGCATCCCCCATTTCTTTCACTCAAGCCATGCCTTCATCTTTAGAGGACCCTGGCTCTGGTATTCCTTTTCTTAACCTCTCCACCTCACTGAATCCTTAGGTTCCTTTACCTCCCTCTTGAATCAAGCTGTCAGTCACCAGTCCCCTAATTCCTCTCAATGAGGCTCAGTGACACATTTTAACTGATGACCAGCTGTGTAACTCCTTAGGACAACTGTACTGCATTAATGGTGCTATATGAATGCAAACTATTACTGTTGTTGCATAATCTGAATGTATTGAACCAATTATTGAGCTGGAATTACTCAGTAAAATAACAGTACATCAATGCCCCGTGTCATTAAAAATATGCAAATTGGCCAGCAAGTTCAAGGGATGAAGGGACATGTCATAAATTGCCTTAGGTGGGTACATTCCCAGAAAAGGATCTGAAAGCAATGAAGTGCAAACAGCTTTTGTTTGGCCAGCAGTTCTCAGCCGGAAGGACTTCCAATACTGGGGTCCTGAATCCTGAACAGGGCCCAACAGTGCCCACATAAGTGCCTGAAGTGTATTGAAAATTGTTAGGCCTCCCCCATAACAGTTCCTCAACCTGTGGTGGAGACCCCTCGGGTCAACTAAATCCCACGGCAAGATTTCCCTCAGATTAATGCCACCAACAGGCAAGAGTTGAACAAGATTTGTGAAGGATCAAAAAGCAGGAACTGCTGAGACAAATAGTTTTCCACTTGTTTGAGTCAGGCTTAGAAACACTCTGTAACACTGACCTTCACATTCCAGGTTTGCTCCTTCCCACTGCCCCTGGGCAGAGCAGACTAATGAGTCATTTCCTCTCACAGGGACATAGCCAACCTGGCACTGGTACAAAACTGTACTTCCATAGGTTGTGTTAATTTTTGGATAGGACAGTGCATTCAGTAAAGCTGGTGGTGATCCACAGTCAACAGCTGAGGAGAGAAAAATGCAAGTTAGCTTAATTTACTTTTCTGGGTATTGATGAAATTCAGATGAACTGAAGGTGGAATGTTCAAATCTATGCAATACCAAGCAAGACACACACACACAAACAGAGAGCGATGATTGTCCAGTCAATATCCTTGGTTCAGGACAAATCTTGACCGGGATACTGGGAGAATCTCACTACTATTGATTGGAAAGAATCAGGACATTCTTAATGTCCAACTGAACAGTTGGCTAGATCCTCATGTGAATGTATCCCCCTCAATGAACATCTCCAACATTGAAGCACAGAATCAGGAGTAGGCTCATTAGCTCCTCAAGACAGTTTCTTTGAATACAAATACGTTGCATCAAAAATGCATTCTTAAGAAACGCATTGTGTGGAACAGAATACCTTTTCTGTCAATATTTTCCAGGACAATAAAGGTATTTAATGAAAACTTAGTGAAGAATTACCTGAATGCTGAAACCATTCAAAACAAGATACTCCAAATATTTGCTAAGAACAGAATTTAATGACTGACAAAGCTCAATGCATATTTGCTCAGTAGGTTCCCATTCAATAACATCTATAATTCAACTCCATGCACCTGCTGTATCCCTTGACAGCCCTAGCAATCAAAACACTATTCATTGAAGATTTAAAATTTTTAAATGAGTAGCAATGACTGCTTTTTGTGTGAGAGAGTCCAACACTTTTTCCAAGCTATGCTTGAAGAGGTATTCCCTTTTACCTCTCTCCTGGACGGATTTTAAAGTCACAACCCCTTGTCTTAGAAACACCCACCAGTGGAAAATGTTTCTCTCTATCCACCCCATTGTTTCATTACAAATACCAAAAACCTCAATCAAGTAAGCCCTCAACTTCCTATATTCCACAGCATATAAAATTAGATTATGTACCTTTTCCCTTACTGATCTGATCCTCACAGCTCTCGTAGCATTCTTGAAAATCTGGTGAATGATCAACATAGCCTCTGTAACGTGCAGGGTGTAAAACTGTACTTAATACTTCAAGATGTAATCTAACCTGGACTTTGTATACAGGTGGAAAATGTGTATTCACTATATATCCAACTCTAGTTATAAATGCAGCATTCTGTTAATTATATTCTCATTGAACCAACAAACTTACTGATGAGATAGCAAGTGCTGCAAATGTATCTTGCATGGAGATGCAATGAGTGAATGCAATGTAATGAATGAATGGTGGGATTATATGGAGGTTGGACTCAGGTGAAAGGAAAGTTAATGAAAGGAAAACCTTGTCAGTTGCTCCGGAATAGCATTTCCATGTTGTCACAGTTCAGTCAGCATTTAGTAATATTCCAAAACACTGACCTTCACATTCCAGGTTTGCTCCTTCCCATTGTCCCTGGGCAGAACAGACTGATGTGTCATTTCCCCTGACATGGACATAGCCAACCTGGCACTGGTACACAACTGTATTACCATACGTTGTGTTGACTGGTGGATAGGTCACTGTGTTCACAAAACCTGGTGGTGAACCACAGTCAACCGCTGAGGAGAAACAAACCCAAATTAGCTTGATTTAGGTAATTTCTGTGTATTGTTAAATTTCTAATAAATGGAAGCCAGAACCTCCCAACCAGCTTCACTCCATTCCAACTAATTTGCACAAAGCAAGACTCACAGAAAAATAAAGGGAAATTGTCGGAATCATCCACTAAAGAGGATGTAACTGTGATCTTTGAAAATCTTCTTGCAATCAGGCAAAGTGAAAATAGTTTCATGAAAGGGAAATCATGTTTAAGCAACTTAATGGATTTTTTTTTCTGAGGAATTAACAAGCAATGCAGATAAAGGGGAATCTGTGGATGGGCTGAATTTAAATTTCCAGGAAGTATTTGACAGGGTGCTGTGGTATTTCCCCTAATTGGCATTACTGACATCTCAGCATACCTGCCACCCCTGAGCAGCATACTGACAGAGTACGGGCTGTTTGAAGTAGCTTGTTGCCACCAACCCACTTGCATCTATAATTAGTCTATGGCCTATCTAACCAGCAATGGTCAAAAATGTAGCATTGACAGTTGTTACAGAAGAGGTACTTCATTTAGTTAACAAGATGCTTTTTTGTATTTAGCAATATGTACAACTACTTCACAAGTCAAGCAGAATTATTAAGACTCTCAGGAAATTTACCAATGCCATGGGTTCTCCATGAAAGTATAAGAGATAGGAGATCATTTGCTGATGGGGATTAGGGAATTGGAATAAATAGGACATTCTCAACTTGACAAGCTGCAATGAATACAGTACATCAATCATCATTATTTGCACCCTAGCTGTTCACAATATCTATCAAGAATATGGATGTGGGAACCAAACGTAATGGCTCCAAGCTGGTGGATGATGCAAATCTATGCAAGATTACGTGCTGTGAGGAAAATGCAAAGTTGCTTCAACAGAATTTGGATAGATTTAGTGAGTGAGCAAGAACATGACAGTTGTAATATTATGAGGAAAATGTTAGGAACAGATGTACAGAGCATTTCTTAAATGATAACGTGTTAGAAAATGCAGATGTACAAAGGGGCCTAGGTATCCTCATCAGCAAGTCACTGACGGCTAACGTGCAGGTGCGGCAAGCTATTAGAAAACCTAATCGAATAGTAGCCTTTATCCTGAGAGGATGAGAGTACAGCAGTAGCAAACTTTTGCTTCAATTGTATAAAACATTGGTTAAACCGCAGCTGGAGTACCGTGTGCAGTGTTGGTACTCTTACTTTAAGATGGATGTTATTGCCATAGCAGCAGTACAAGGAAGGTTCAGCAGGCTTATTCTTGGGAGCGGGGAATGTCCTATGAAGTGAGATAAAGGAAACTGGGCCTATATTCATTCAACTTTTGAAGAATGATTGTTGATCTAATTAAACGCTACAAGATACTAAAGGGACAAACAAGGTTGATTAAGATAAAATGTTTTCTTTGTTTGGGGAAGCTAGAACTGGGTGACTCAATTTCCAAACAAGAGAGGTGAGTTAGAACTGAAATGAGATTTTTTTTAAAAAAAAACTTAGAGATAGAG